TATATATATATATAATATAGGAGAAAGTGAATCTGCGGTGACTCCGTAGGCTGTCATCTGAGGATGCGGGATCTGGGCGGTTTATTATAAACCCAATAAAGAGATCTGAGCCCTTCGCTGAAAATCCCTTCCCCCCAAAATCCCTACCCTTCTCTCTTCTTTCCCGCTCAGATCGCGCCATCACCGACCCCCTCCTCCTCACCACCGCCCGAAAGCGCCGCCGCCCAAGCTCGGCCAAGCCCTCGACGTCCCCGTTCAGCGTCGCCGCCGTCCCCTTGCCCTAGCCATCACCTCCCCTCCTCCTCTCCAGCTCCCGAGATCGCCGCCGCTGAGCGTCGCCGCCGGGTCAGCGCCGTCTACTCCTCCTCGCCATCGAACTCACCCCTCGTCATCAGCCACGCCTCCGATGGCATTTGAGCTCAGCCCTCAGGTTCATCGCCGCCTCCGGAGCTCGACCAAGCCCTCGACGTCTGCCCTCATGGCTTCGAACAAATTGAAAGAGTCGACGTCTTCGAATTCTTCAAAATCAAAGCCTACCTCTTCTAAATGCAATAATCCTCCAACTTCGTAAGTAATTTGCCATGATATATTTAATTTTTAACTCTTTCTGAATTATAATTTTTGTTGTAAGCCATGATGTATAATGTTTGTGTTAATAAACTTGTTAATATGCGTCTTAATTTGCCCAAATATATTTAATTTTTAACTCTTTCTGAATTATAATTTTCTTGTAGGGCTAAGATAACACACTTGAGAATTCCGGCCAATTTGTGTTATTTTTGAGATTTAATTGATAAGCGAATAAAATTAGATGAAAGACACATAAAAACCCTACAGACGACACCTTTTCACAGCTTTCTCAATATACCCATATCCTTGAGCAATGAGCAAATAGCAATTGATTGCTTGATTCAAAATTTTAATCCTGATAAATGCTCATTCATGATTGGGAATAAAAATTGTGTGTTCGGTATAGATGATATTCACCGAATTACCGGATTGCCAAAGGAGGGAATTCCGATAAAAATGAGTGGGGCAGCGGCTAATACAATCTACACCTATTTTGTAAAGAATTATAAGAAAGCCGATGAGGAAAAGAAGGCGGTGATTTCGGGAAAGCGCGATAGAATGGCCGAGATGATTGTAGATATGATTAATGAAGACCCTATAATATGTGTAAAACTTATTGTGGCTTTCATTATCGGCTTCATATTATGTCCGCGGACATGTAAGACATGTCCCTTATGGGCGTTTAGATATGCGGAGCAGTTATCAACTTTGCATAAATATAATTGGTGTCATGCGGTGTTCACT